GATCTTAAGTAATAAGGTAGAAGTGTGAAAAAGGGTGGGAATGGAAATGGGCTATAGGTTTTATTTGGAATCGGTTCACTAAGTGTGTAAAATGAAATGTTAATTAAAATAATCCACCATGAAAATTTACAGAAAAATATTCTTACAAAATAATAAGGGAACAGATGAATACTGTACTTGTGTATTATCTAACACCCATTAAAGGAAAGCCTTAAGTAAGAGTTGCATTGAATTTATCTTTCAGCTGTGAGCGAGTCTGAAGGAAGTTTTGGACTATCTGATTTTTACCTCTGCATCATTGTAAGCCAGTAACAAGGTAAAGCAGGCTTTTCTAGAGAAATTTCAAAACTATTTCATTTCTGTTCATCTCTGGAGTGTCTACTGCTTCACAACAAGAACGTAAGTAAGTACTGCAGCAGAGGCTTATACCACAGCAGAACGGTTAGGAGAAGTTAGACATCATGATATAGTGCGGGTAGAACTGCTCTGAGGACTCTGAGCTTATCTTCTGCTACTATTGCTGAAAGCCATCTGTTTTATTCAACTTATTTGTGGCTGTTGTGGCAGCAATTGCTGCTTTTCATTAGACTGAGATTCGTGTTGGCAAGTTTAGGAAACCAAGGCCAGATTCAGCAAAACGCTTCAGCTTCTGCGTAGCTGTAAGCGTAGATAGGCTTACATACGCTTGTACGCGTATGTAATACGCTTTGTATTTGCTAATTTCACTGGGACTGGTGGACAGCTTTAACATTCATTGCTGAATCAGAACTTCATCCTTACCTGTTTGGAAGATGCTTTTATAGAACTTGACATTTTACTAATCTAGTCCTTGAGTTTAAGTGCACTGTAATTCCTGTTATTGTATGGAGGCTGGAATCACTGCTTTACCCGGTCAAGAAAAAAAATATAAAGGAATCACACTTGCTATTGTATTTGAAGATTTTTTTAAAAAACTGTAATTCCATTCATTATGTTTGAAATAAATTTATTCACATGCTTTTGAAATCTATCCTTTATACAATGTATAAAGAGTGAGTTGTTTCAAGAAAGGTTAAAAAATGTTGTTTGTATTTGCTCTGTATTACAATTTGCACTGTTTTTCTAAAATAATGCTGTATTATTCTTACAGTGTTTTTCAAAGAGACAGCTCAACAGTCTTTACAAGCATCCTTTTTTACAGATAGAAATACTAGTGCAAAAAAGAGTTGCATGACTTGCTACATCACACAGCAGATCACTGGCGATGCTGACAGTGGTGGCTTCCTGACTCTTAGGTTTGTACAGTTACTACTTGATTACTTTATGTGTACTTGATAAAAAGCTCAGACATGCAATAAAACTCATCTTTCTAGTGAGCAAAGAACCAACGTTTGATAAATCATACTGTAATTTATATTGCGTTGCCTGAAGCAACTTGGTGTGTGCACTATTTAAGGGCTTGGACATTTTATTTTCCTACTGAGGATACTTGGCTAAGCAATGTGGAGGAATGCTGCCAACAGCAATCTTCCAGAAATCTCCTCCTTACCAGTGGATCATACACAAAATCCTGAAGCACTTTTTAATATTAAACTTCCCATAAAGCAGTACATCCTAAACCAGCTTTTTTTTAAATTGAGTCAGTAAAGAATATAGTTAATAACTGCACAAACCATGCATGTGTAATTGGCTGTCCAGTGATTTAAATGATAATTTGATAATATTTTAGTTACTGTTGCCAAAATATTTTTTTAAACTGTTGGATTAACAGTTTAATACTTGAATTTAGATACCATCTTGTGCTTGTAACAGTGCCTGTCACTTGAGGAGCTCTAAGTGCTTTGTACACTTACCCCACAAGGCGAAACGGAAGCTCTGAAGGCTTAGAACTTGTATTTAGAGATTCAAAACAGTGGAAGTTTGAACCCCTTGAATATGGGCATGGAATAAATCTGCCAGTATAGCTTGGCAACTTAATGGCATTATAATTTTTTTTTGGTAGTTTAGAATCTAAATCACTGTCCAGATGACAAAAATGAGTTTGGGAGTCTTGTTTTAATTGCTAGTTGTGTATAATACAAAACTACCAGACCATTTGTAGGTGGTGGAATTGTTCATAAAAAATGCACTACATGGGTAGTGTAAGAGAGTTTTCACAAGAAAAGCCTGTGCTCTTTAATAAAGACAACTAATCATTAATTTCTATGTCTGTTAAATTCACAACTCCAAAAAAGATAAAAAGTGAGGTCCACTTCTCTAAGATAGGGCTTAAAAATCATCTTTAACATTAGTTCCTTGCAAACATGCCCGGCTTGATAAGATATAAAAGAAAATTAACACATTCTTCCTTGCATAAGGTCTGATTCAAATTATTGTAGAACCAGTTTAACTTCTGGCAGCTGAAAGGCATACATTAGCTAGCTAGAGCCATCTGCAAGGCAAACACAGTCTTACCTCATGTGTTTCTAATTAGAACGTTTTGTCTTTCAGGCACTATCAGATGCCATGCTATGACTGGTAATGAATTCTGAAATCAAGTACATCCCAAAGGATTTAAAATCTTCATGGATTAAGGAGAGCCTTTTGTGAGTTTCAGTTATTTTCACACTTTCACTGTAAGTCTAAACAATATTTCTTGGATAGTAACTTAATTATATGAAGAGCTGATATCCCCAAGAGAGGGATGTTTTAGGCACACTGGGATTACATAGGATTTTTTTAAAGTATTATTTTTCACTTGTTCATTGAATAGGACAGTCATGTAGATTTTTATGTCAATATCCAACATCATTTATTCTGGGGAGCTAATACAGCGTGGCTACATGCAGATTTCCCTTCTGCTCAATTTGAATGCCATTCCCTAGCTGAGAAATAGTGGAGTACAGTACAATATTAGCATTTTAATACTCATTTTTTTATGACAGAGTAAAACTGATTTTATGTAATTAATTTTTAATGCTTGTATGAATATTAAATGGCTTAACATGATCTTTTTATTGGTGGCATTTACTTTTTATGCTTCACCTCTTGTTTGAGGATAAAAGATTACATGTGTGATATATTTAAGTGATTGCCTTATTACATTTTAATGCCTTATTGGAACCATAGAAATATTTCAGCTGAAGAAAATGTTTGATGGAAAATAAAATAAATTATTATTAATTTAAAAGACATCTTGCAAAAAGTCATAATATAATTACTGCAGTTTTCTCATCCTAAAACCAAACTGCAAACCTAAATAAGCCAGCACTAACATATCATATAGTGATGTGTATCATCACTTGCATAACGTCAATCATGAGAAGCAGGAGGAACAGTTTTATTCCACTAGTGTTGGGATATGGAGGTCATGAGGTTGAAGGAGTCTTTCCAAATTCTGTACAGGAACAGTGAGTGATGGTAGCACTGTTGATGGCTCTAGAGGAATATCTGGGTAGGATATGCTGTGGTACTGATTTTAGAATATTTTTTTATCTCCAAAAACTATTTGGTTAAGTACATGAAGGATACTGACTGCTGCTGCAATATTAAAGGAACTGCTAATAGATAAATTTGAAATTTCAAACAATCCTACCTGTTTCTTTTTTGAGTAGTAACATTTTTCAAATATCATAAACAAGCCTGAAGGAAGGACCACGCTTTTCCCCGGAGATGGGTGTGTGAAGACCTTAGGCCCCTGAGAGCCCTCAGGAAAGCACGTAGGCCAAGCCGGGACCTCGAGGGCTTTTTTGCCTCTGCGGGTAAAACCACCAAATAGGTTCACAAGCTGCTCCTGTTATCGTTCTCATTTCATACCAGCCTTGATTGAAGCTGAGGGAATATTCAGTTGTTTTCTTGACAACAGTCAGTAAAATAGCTTTGTTAACGCTGACCCACCTTTTCCTTAGCCAGGCTGAATGGAATCCAGTATCTGCTCCTGCCACCCAGTACGGCTGGCCAGTCCCTTCCCTGCCGGGATGGCTCTCCTGTCCTTGCTTACCTGCAGCTTTGCACACCTCTGTGGTTCCTTCACTTCTGCTGCCTTGCAAGCAGCAGCAGAGCTCCGGCTCCTGGAAACCTCTTTAGGGAACTTCCACACAGGGGCTCACAAGTCGCTTTGAAAAGATCTTTAGGGTTTGTCTGGATATATGTTTGCCTTCTGTTTACATTTGCTTTTGTGGGTAGGTACATTGGCTGTGAAGGAGTCCATTATGTTTCATAACAACAGTTCCCTGTGCAGCTATCATTCAGGATTATTTTTTTCTTAAGTGTGGGAGAGAAGCAAGAGGAGTGGACCTTTGGCAGGTAGAATAGCTACAGATATACCCACTACTAGGCATGAAACTCATACACTTCCAAATGTGCACAAAGTCCCTTTCCCTGTCAGAGGCAAACCTCTCAGTCTCTTCCTGGATTTGTGCTGCATTCAGCATTTTTTCTGTCTGGACTCTCATTTTATCTGTCTGGACTAACAGCATCAGCACCGAGTACTCTCCGAGTACGCAGAATACATTAAGGACTACACCTTGCCCCAAGATGATTTACAACAAAAGCTGACTGTTCCCTGGAAACTACTGAAACAAAAAAAAAGATTGTCAATATGAAAAGAGGTAACCATAGTAATAAAAAAATCCAGCAAATCCCAGCTGCACCCCAAACAACAGAATAACAAACATGAAGTTGATTGATTGAAAAAAATACTAAAATTTAATTCCACCAAGAAAAATCTACTGAAATGGCTGCAAAATATTACAAACAACCCGATTTTTATTGGAAACATTTTAGTACCACTGTAGATAAGAAAGACAAGATTGCAGAGCAGGATCAACTTCTTAACCAGAGAACTGCTTACAAAGGACCTACTCTTGCTTCCACAGATATCAACAGCATTTCACTGGCAGAATTCAATGAAAACCAAGTTTGAACCTTCAAATTGTTACTGTATTTTTGCAAAAGTATTTATTTGGAAAGAGCAATAAAGGGGGAAAAAAAAATCTCTCTACACTTTCTATTTTTTTTTATTAAGGAGGATTTCGCTCCTTAAAAAAAAGGTTGCAACAGTCTTATTTATGTGCCTTTGCATTTTTTTTTAAACTAATTGCCCCCTGGAATTAATAACAACCAATATACAGTAGAACAGTGTAGCCCAAGAAACAGTTTACTGTTTACGCGTCAGAGAAAGATACAGCTATACAGTTAGAAATGCCATACAAAATTGTTATTCTGACTAATTTAGCCATCCTCAGCTATCAATTTTTGCTGTAAATGTACAAAAGGGGCCAATATTACATTGGATTTTTGACTCTCCTTGTTGTCTTTTTCAGAATAAATCCATGGTAACATGCTAGTAAAAATGATTTAAGTAATTTTATTTGCACACAATTGGTGATATCTATATTATGTTTTATGGTTTCAATATATTTTGGAATATTAATTTAAAGATATTGCTTTATCAGATATCCTAGATTAAACTACTTAAAATTATTATTGGACTTTCAGACTATCAGTATGTCAGTTAAGTTAAAGTAATTTTTTATGCTATATCTTATTTTAATATTTTGTGAGATTGAAAGGTATAAGCAATTTGGATGAACAGGTCAGTCAGTCCTTTTCTTTGCTAAGATAGGAACAGTTAGCTATTAAGATGAAAGAGACAAAAACATGTAGCTAGAATATCAGTCCTGGCATAGATGAGAAAAATGTTTAAATTTTGATAATTTTTGAACATACAGACCCTACACATGTGGATGTAGCAAAACATGAACCTATGACAATAAACTAGCTTTTACAAGTTTAAATATAAAGAAGAAATTTGCCATAAGCTTTATTACAACCTTAAACTTAGAAAATATTATGCCTAATGCCATCCCATACGGCATTGGCTCTGTTACAACTGGATATACTGTAATTACGTACTATACTATGATGGTGAATTAAAATTATTATGTTTCCTTAAGTTTGTGTACATTAAATAAATGATGGTGAAAGGATTTTATTTCAATTAGTGTAGCTAGACTGGTAAATTCTAATTCTGCACATATATTCTCAAAGAGATAAAGCAATTATTTTTTCCAGCCTATAATGAAAACTAAATATTAGTAGCTGATTTACTGCTGTTTTTCAGATTAAGTGAAAGTTTCTGGTCCTATCACTTCTTCATAGCCCATAAGAGACTGAGCATGCTGGCCTTGCTTCAACAAAGAAGCATAAGCACCTGCTTAATGTTAAGCACACTGATAAAACTTCTGATTCACGTCATTCCATCACATTTGGCAGATGGCAGCTTCCATAACACATTTCTCCTTGTTCTCTGCTTGAACAGGGGAGTACACCACCTACTGAAAAACCACAGGTCTCCCACACAAATCCCGATACCAGAGGAACATGCATATATGCACATGCTTTTCTAAGATCAAACTGCAGTGTGCTTGGTAGAATCATGCCCCTTCCCTGTACCTTCCTGAAAAGTAAGCCTTTTAACTACGTTGTACCATTCTTTGGCACTTGATTTCTGCAAGTTTCCGATATGCCTCCTGTAATTTAAAGAAGTTCTTTCACTTTAATTTGAAAAATATTATGTAAAGCAGCAAGTATGGACCAAATGCTGAATTGGCTGCAGGTTGGTACAGTAACTCTGCGATTTTGCATACATTAACTATAAAGTGCTTTAAAACCCTTTTACATGAAAGGTGCAAATAAATATTGTGTCCTCTTAATTGATTTCCTGGGAGACACATAGTACTGGTGAGCCCACAGCTAGGGGTATCCTCAAATTGTTACAGTAATTAAAAAGGTATGAATTCCATACAGCCATACATAGGCTGAATTAAAATTGAAGAACACTTCTTTTTCCTGTATTTACTGGGGTTAGCGTCTCATGGCATCACAGCCAGCAGGCCTGCTGCTTGCCCTCTAGCTCTGTGTCTTCCTAGATCCGTATGCAGTCATCTGGATAGGTAAAAAAGGTATAGTGCTACTTTGGAAATCTGTGCAAAAAGGGTTAATTGTGCAGAACTTGGGGTTGTTAGTTGATTCACTCTGATTGCCATTTGCTGAAAAGACGAACTGTTTTAGCAAACTGTCCGGTATCATTTCTCTTTTTGGTTAACAGGCTCAGAATATCTGGCAATGAATGCAGCACATCCCCACAGCAGAATGCTGGCAGGTCTAGCAACTGACAAAATTACCCAGAACTTGAATTATGCCATTGAAAGAGCTCTGATAAAGATCTATATAATGCATAGGGCAGCACTGCGGTACTTATAATCTACGGTCCCCAAGAGATCTGACTATAAATGAGAAACATCTTTGTTGGTGTTTTGTATATGAGGGATTGAAGCACCCATAAGTGAGATGACTTGCTTAAGGCTGCAAGGTCTGCCAGCAGTCAACCCCTAAAATGACCCTGTGGATCATGTTCTGTTGTAATGGACAGAAATCCCCTAAGAACAAACGGTACTGTATATTTCTATGGAGTAATTACTTTATACATTAGGGGTAAAATCCTGCTCCCATCTGAATCACAGCAAAACTCCCACTGAATTAAGTATGATCTGGATTTCAAATTATATTTGGAACCAAACTCAAGTACTTTGTCACATATAGCAGAACTATCAAGCAAACAGCCTTACAGCATGCTTGATGCAGTCTATTACAGTTCTTAATGATCAAAATGCAATGTCAAACATTTTGCCTTCTTTAGGTTGTTTCTATTCATATTATCATGGTTCACATAATTGCTGTTTTCTTTAGCTGTTAGTTTAATACAAACTAAAAAGGAAAAAAAAAGTAACAAAGAAAACAGAACACAATAAATCCTATTACCCAGTTGACAGAATAAATGTAGATTATCACCATGTCCATATCAAACCGCCATCCACGGCTATCATCCTCAAAGTCCATGTAGTCCATCCTGTGAGCGGCATGTGGGAAATGCCTCCTTGTTACAGTATCTGAACGTCTTTGAAAACCTGCTGGAAAACAGAACAGGAAATAAAGATCCTTATAAAAGCAACTGCACTGAGTACAAAATAAGTTAACTCCTCCCTCCCAATTATTTACAGAACAAATGGAAGCAGGCAGTCTTACACCTCACTGCTGGGTTTCCTCACTTTATCGAACAAGTAGCTCTCTGGGGATTTGACTATGAAAGATCTAAAACCAAACTTTTTCTTCCAAGTCTGGCAAATAATATTTTTGTTTGGATCTGGCACTCTCTACTATAGTAAGGTAATGCTATATGCTTATGTCATCCAGATCTATGAACATGTCTCCTTTGGTGCTGACTTCCACTGAATTTGATTCAGTGATCTGGAAGTAAAAGGTTTCATTACTGTAATTAATTTCTTGAGTCATTAATCTCTGGATTCCCTGAGCCTACTCATCTGAATTCTTCAGCAGTCTAGCCACATCCATATGCATGCACAAATACCTAATGAACACAACACTTCAAAAATAATTGAATTCCTATTGAATTAACTGAATTTTGTGTTTGAGTATTTTTCAAAACACTCTTCTGACCAAGACCTACTTGCTTTAATATTATTTGAACTTGTACTGACTGATGGTTAAGCATGCCTCTATACACGCACACTAGGTTAAAATTCATTTTCAAATTACTGTTTGTATGCTGATAATTCTCTAAATATAAATTGGGACATTGCAAACACAGGCTCTCAAGTAAATGTGAAAATCTAGTGTGAAAAACAAAACTCAAAATACTTAAAATAATACATCTAGATACATACTCTTCTACTTTTAAACTCTTCTGTTGTGAAAGCATTTAGGATAACCCTTCTGGCAAGACAGAAGCAGAGAAGATGACTTCAACGAACAAACACAGGGACTGGCAGAGTGGGCCAGAGCAGCGGTCCATTCCATCCACCAGTTGCTTCTTAATAGCAAGTAGCAAATGATACAGAGAGGTGCAAAGAATCCTCTTTTGAACAGTTACACAATAATCTGATCTAGGGGAAAACTCATTTTAATCTCCAGAACAATAGGCTTGCTTTTGCACTAAAGCTAAGGATTGATGTGTACTGTTACTCTTGTTTTTTAAAAGGCTACTCTTGTGACTATATTCTTTTCATCTTTGTGACTCTGTAATCCTACTTTGAATCCTATAAAGCTCTTAGGCCTCAAAGATCTCCCGGGGAAGTCATGGCTACTTGTGCAGGAAAAGTGTTTCATCCATTTAAATGTCTTCTCTTCAAATGCCTTTGAATATTTTCTGAACTTTACTAGGGAGAAAAAAAAATCACTGGGTAACAGTGCCCCATCTACTCTGATTTGCAAGTTTCATTAGTTTGTACACAGTGTTGATTATTGCAACTTCTTCTCTGAGGAAAGATTTTTCCATGTCTAATCATTCTTGTGACCTGCCTCCAGCCCCCTATTTCTCTCTCTCTCATTTTGGAGAGGTGTGATCAAATCTAAGCAACTGATTTAAAGACCTTCCAGTATTTTATGGCCTCAGTATGACTCCAAGAATGGCTTCTTTGAATGTAGGACCCTGCCAAAAGGTCATTCCCACCCAGACTTCTCTGTATAGTAAGAGAAGTACTATATAGGCAGAGTACTGGAATAAAAGCTGCTCGTGAGGGGGTAAAGAAACCTCTGACGGACCAGCTGTGCTAGGCACTAGGTTATGGTATGGGGAAGAGGTGGGAGCTGCGCTGCAGAGGCGGACAACCTGACCTTACCTGTGGTGGTGGACAAGGAGGGACTGCAGTCATATAGAGCGCTGGGTATATACACAGCATTCTATTTTCAGGTAAAACTCAATCTTTATGACACATTCTTTGATTTTAGGAAACAGGTTGTTGCTGAGCTGTCCAGACACTTTTCCCCTAAATTGATATAATGGATTTTGGAACCTCAAGGTGGGGGAGAAACAGTTAAAAGTGTTCCCTTCAGTGGGCATCGCTGCACAACAGCGTGCATCAGTGCACACTCCTCAGTTTCATCTGCTAACGTGCTCCTTCTAGTCTAGCTTAATTAGGCCTCCCTGAAGTTCCTCAGTCTTCTGCTTTTGATTAACATAAATAATTCAGTATAAATGGTGTTCACATGCCAGTAATTTCATTTTAATACTCTCAGACTTTATTCAAGATAATTGACAAACATATTAAAAAAATGTGTCCTAATAAACAACTTTGGTGGAATTGCACTATTTTTCCTTCTCAGTGGAGCATACTGACTGTTTCTTTGTATTTTTTTCTGAATATTTTGTCCAGAACTTTTATAGCACAATTTTTTCCATGCCTTCCAAACAAAAACTTTCTCTCTTCGGTATCCAATTTAAGATACTTTGTGAGAGTTTGACTCCTAATAAAATAATTCAACTGATTCTCCTGTGTTCATTTAATGACTGATTTAGCAATGTGACTAGACTACTGAAATACAGATTTTCACTGGAGAATCAGTACTGGTTAGACATCACGATAACATAGTTAGATGAATTTTATTTTCAATGATAATATGGATCAGTTTGTCATCTACACATACTAAGTTTCTAGGTCTGTATCTATCAGAATCTATTACTATTTATCTTATTTTGGAGACTGTATATATGAAATCTTCATGCTAATGAAGAGAGCGGTGAAATTTTGTGATGGTTTTCAGTGACTCTAAGTGGGCTAAGATTTGCCCACAGCTAAAAATGCTATAGTGGCTCTAGAAAAAGAGAATGCAGAGATTTTCTTTTATAGAGCTTTAGGTTGCAACACCACAAAATGTTATGCAAGCGCATGGGCTAATAATCTGCTTAAAGAGAAGTATGATATGAACTGTCTTGCTTTTTATGTTATGTTTTAAATTGCATTAATTTAAAACAATATCTTTGATTACTGAAAAATATCATTAGTAGTTCAGTAACTGAATACTGAAAAATGTAAGTCTTATTTAAGTATCCTTATCCTGCTATCAAGATGTAGTTTATGTGAAAAATGCTCATTAAAAAACCTACCTCAACTTCAAACCTAAATTCTTCTTAATTTCTTTTGTAACATTTGTTAAACATTATTGTCAAATTTAAGTCTAGATTTATGGGTTTTTTTTAATTTAAATTGCAAATGATGTTAAATTTTTATCACTAATGTTGTAACATTACCTTTGCCTTTTACACATGAATTTTAGTGTATATTATCCTCTCTGGAGGGTCTCATTCAGGACTGCTATCTGTGATTTCTTTTTATTTATTTCTGTATTTATAGGAAATATAACACAACATTCTACAGGCTATTTTTGTGTCAGCAGTTTGGGATCATCTTGCAATCACAGAATTATGTAAATGTTTAGCTACATTAGTTAAGACTTGGTAGTCCTTGCCTTCTACAGGATTTAGACAAATATTATCCACAGTTTGTATTCTGTGTACTTCACCTTAAGCAAACCTGCATTCCATTTATCTTAGATTAGACTTTGTAATGTAATCATTCTACATTCAAGAACAGCAGTTTCAATATAGCAAGCTAGCTATTCTGTAATTGCTCTTGATATAGAAACCCTCATAAAAACTGTGGGCACTGTAGTAAAGATACGAATGCAATCAGGAACTTCTTACTGTACAAGATGTGTAATCCCTGTGGCTTGCCTGAGCATGAGTAAAACAACTGCAAGTTGCTAGCCAGTAATATGAAATCATAAATTGATTAAGCTTTAGTTGAAAATGCCAGTAGTACAACTAGTCTGTAAACTGAATTCTGGAACTTAACACAGGCTAACAAAGAACAGGAACTTTTTTTTTTCTCCTACCTTGAAGTATATTCCAAAAGACATTTGGATATATATATAGTACTGAAATTCAGTATTAGATTTAGACAGCCTATCTGATCATGCAGATAGATTACTGCAGAATCGATGATCCATACTGTGCCCACTGTCTTTAATACATTCTGACAAGAAAAATACCTTCAGATGTCTGTCTCTCCAGCTAGAGTGGAAGTAAGCTGTGGCTATACATATCATTCTAGCCATCCGCAAATAAAGTCTGAAAACTGTGAAGTTCTCCAAAAACTGTTGAGTAACATGGTAGAGGGGTTTTCACTTATTTGAAATAGAGGAGCTGATGGAGCTCCAAATCACTTCTAATGGATTTGTTCCTTTTTAAAAAAAGAAGTCCTGTCTCATTTCAGGAATACAGTCCCTAAATCATTTCTACAAGCATGTATTTGTTAAAATATATACTTTACATAATTGTCTTATGCATGCCTGTGTTGCAATGCACTGAACATGAATTTCCACTCCAATCACATGCATAAACATGCACGGTGCCAGCACAGTCTGGCAGACTTAGTGGAAACGTGTTACTGAATAAAGAAAACAAGGCTGTGTGCAAATTATGCTTTTATACTGATAACAGAATACAAATCAAAAAGGATTTTCACTAGATCATGAATAGGCACATCTGTTGCATGTGTCCCTGCTGAAGTTTTTGCAACCTCCTACTGAGGTGCTAACGATACTCAAAATAAGACTACAAATAATTTAAAATATTCTCCCTATTTTACAAAGTGACTGGACTAGTTTTGCTACGACTGAAGGTGACATATGAGAAAGGAAATTTAACTCTAAAAATATGCCTCAACAAATAATATGCAAGCTACGATAACTACTTATAAAAGTGCTCATGTAAGATTAAGTTACCTAAAATTAAGTGTATCATCAGATGTACCAAGGTCATTTTGACCCTGTCACTTGTTTCTGATATGGCGAGCAGCAGATAGACAGATCTATTGAAAGAGTGTAAGAAAAAAAAAAAGTACAGACTGACACCTTCCCATATATGTCCATGCAGCAACTGGCAGTTCAGGGCCCCTGTGATTTGGAAGCTGTGCTCAGGACGCTGTGTTAAAAAGTCACTGATAGGACCTTCTTGCTGTAAATTTGTCCAACTGCATCTTTAACCCCCTTACACTTTTGACATCCAAAATATTCAATGGCAATGAGTTTCTTGATTTAAGTAAGTGCTTTG